CGACCTCTGGTGCGGGAGCCGGCCGCCAGCGGTGGCTGTGCTGAGGGGAGGCGGGAACCACAAATGGAGGTCCGCGAGTAGCTCTGCACCGGACTACGGGCGGATTATGCTTCCCTCAAACAAGGGCGGGAACCGACGGGGGCGGTAGGAAAGCGAGGAGGCAAATTAAGCAGTGTCTAGCAACGCATGTGTCATTAGGTAACTGTATTTCCCCCCACAAGGCCACGCTTTCACCCTGAGGACAGCTGAGCACATCCGCCTCCATCTGACAGAAGGTGTCCGACTGGGTGCAGACACCCTCCTGCCCGTCCTGCAGCGAGTCGCCATGCGCCTTTCCCACCTGCGTTGAGAAGAGGCAGCTCATACCAGAGTGCCTTCTTGGTAAGGGCCCATCCCCTCCTCACTTTGGGAACCTGACCAGCGCTGTCCTGCGTCGCTTGTCACTTGACATTGCCGGAAGTGGTAGCCTTTAAGTACAGCAAGTAACACAAAAGGGGAACAGCAGAAGGTTTTTTTGGCACACTACCCTTCTCTCTGTGGAAATAACAACGCTCTCACTTTACTCATAATGTTTCCAGTTTTCTTTACTCTGACGCTGCTCTGGCTGTCTTGCAACTACGTTAACTGACTGGACAGTTCTGACCACAAAGGCGTTCAGTGCTGCAGAGAAAGCACAGACATCATTCCCAGCGGGAAGGACAAAAGAGTCATTGTTGCCAAGAGCACATGAAGTAGTTTCATAAAGTAAGAAACACCGTGTATGTGACAAAACCAACATTTGAATCAATGATATACAGTGTAAACAGAAATTCAGCTTTCAGGCTTAACTTTGAATGTTAGAGAGGGAGCAATAGGTCTGCAAGATAAAAAGCTTGTTCTTACTACGTCAGTGTTTTTGACAACTACATTATCATGTTCTTTCTGTTATTTTGACACCATGAATAAATCACCACCTTGATGTCAAACTGATCCTGCACTTGCATTTCTGTGCTTCTTATATATAAGCGATTAGCCCATTAACCTTTCTATAGAACAACACCACTTCTAAACGTATGTGAGACACTTAGCAAAGCTTTCCTTCAGCTGTGACAGCCTGAAGTTGCAGCCAGCAGAATGTGGCACCACTTCCAAAAAAACCCCCATCTCTTCTTCACAGAAGAACCACCGGCTCCTGCGCTGCACCTCTCCCCAACCACTTCGCAGCTAGCACAGCCCTGACAGTCAAAAGGCATCTGCCAGGGGCAAACTAGATTTTTCCTCTCAGGGGCTGTACCACCTTCGAAGCAAAAGCATCCTACCAACATACCAACATTGCAGGAGAATTCTGTAAGCTTTTATCATGGCACCTGAAATACTTTAACTCCCAAAGGGACTCAGAAGAGTTCGTTGTCTTTTCCCACTAAGGTGAGTTGCTGTAGCAGCTGGCAAAAGGACACAATTTAGACACCACAGGTGAGCCTGGCCAGCTTCTACATCTATGGTATCGAGCTTCCTGCTTCTTTTACTGGTTCTTATGGGTGTGATGTCAGTGAATCTTCCCAACCCCTTTTGAACTTGCTGGTTCAAACACCTTCCATAAGATGCCTACCTAATATTTTGATGCTGCTCCACAACATGGTGATGGTTTCAGAACTGTCAAAGATCTCTGCCCTGAGCTGTAACTACAAGTTGCTGAACTACAAGTACAGCACCATGTACATTCTGATAAATGAGTTACACCACAAATGCATAAATCTATACTGGAGCTCATATACCCCTTTTCCCCATGGAAGGATCTTACAAAACTGAGCTCCTGGCCACTGGATCAATGTTAGACTGCTTGAGAAAGCTCAGTATCATCTGCAAACTTGGGTGATTTCATTGTTCAGTCCCTCCTCTGAACCGCAGCTAAACTTGCTGAATAAAATCACTCAGGTACTGCCAATACTGAACTTCCTCCTCCCGAGAGGGGCCCTTTCATGGTTTGGGCTGGGCTGGCCACTGGAACGAACAACAGAGGCTCTCTAACTTCTCTCCCAAGTGAGAGAAGAATGAGAGAAAGAGAGACTTACGAGTTTAAAAGAAACTAAACTACTTTAATGGGGTAATAATAAAATAATAAAAAGAAAATATAATAATAAGGAAATAATGAAATATATACAAAACCGTACCGAGCTCCCAGGATGATGATCATATGACTGTAACGCACTGGCAAAGTCCCAGACTGGACTCAGCAATGGTCAGGAGCTGAACTCAGGAACTGGATTCAGGAATGCATGGATCAGGATCAAAGGCAGATGAACAGAGAGTCCTCCTACAACATCAGCCATTGAAGAAAGAGGGCTGACCCCTTTGATCCCTCAGCTTTTATACTGAGCATGAGGCAGATGGGATGGAATACTCCGTTGGTCAGTTTTGGGTCACCTGTCCAGTCCGCTCCTCCCCACAGGTGGGACCCCTCTACGCTTTTCCGCTTCCGACCCTCCAACGGGGCAAATAATCGAGTTATCTGCCCTTGGGTGTTATAGCAATAAGTATAAGCAAGAGCCTCTCTGCATACCATTCCTTGGTATTAATTATAAATACCAGGCCTTATCACTCTGGAAGCAGACACTGTATGACAAGTATGCTGTTAATTTTAGAGTTCAGTTAGTTAGAAGAGGCTTAGCTGAAACGTAAAATTACTGAACAGAAAATTGGTTCTGTTTCACTTCAAACCAGGACAAGCCCATTCAGTCTTCACCCTTCACTTCCTATCCTTGTCAACTCATAAAAGGATCCCTTATGTTCCTCTGGAACTAACATACCATTTTGAATTGTACTTACGCATTTCTCCATGTAAGAAAATACTTCAAAAATTTATCAAAGGGGCATCATAAGCCTACAAGTTCCTTGCAGGGATGGGAAAAGCACCAACAAAACATTTCTTCCCTTCACCATTGTATTGGGCTTACATGGCAAGGTTTTGGTAGCTGGGGTGCTACATGGCTGCCTTCTGTGAGAAGCTGCGTGTACATCTGATAGAGCCAGTGCCAGTTGGGCCAAGACAGACCCACCGCTGGCCAAGGCTGAGGCCATCAGCAACGGTGGAAGTGCCTCTTTTTTCCCCTTTAAGAAGGGGGAAAAACTACAACAGCAGCCAGAGGAGAGGAGTGAGAATATGTGAGAGAAACAACTCTGCAAACACCAAGGTCAGTGGAGAAGGAGGGGGAGGAGGTGCTTCAGGTGCCAGAGCAGAGATTCCCCTGCAGCCTGTGTTGAAGGCCATGGTGTTACTAGTGAAAAGCAGGTGCAGATCCCTCAGGGACAAAGCACAGCACCCAGCAAAGTGAAAGCTTTGGATTTATGGAAAGCATAGCATTACCACAGCGGGAGCCCTGGGACACCAATGCTAATCAAACGGGGACCTGACACAGTGGAGCCCTGCTGGGGAGTGAAGCTCAAGGGAAAGCACTGTAGTGGTGGATAATACAGCTTGTGTTGCTTAACATATCATACACATGCAATGTTCTGTTTTGCTTATTAGCAAATTTTCTGATAAAATGTAATTTTCCAAATACTGAGATCCGCAGCTGGCCATGTTGGTGGCTGTTCAGGGATATGTAAAGACAGCAGGGAAGCGAAGTAGTCCAGGTTACCTTAACAAAGAGATAAGACATGCTTGGGACTCTACATACTCGGATGGGGAGGGTGGGTGAACTGTCCTGGGTTAGTGTAATGAAGTCTTCTCATGCCCTACACATGGTGAAGCAGACTCTCCGCCTGCAGCCCATAGAGGTCAACAGTGGAGTACATATCCACCTGCAGCCCAAGGAGGACACCACACCGGAGCAGGCAGATGCTAGAAGGAAGCTGTGACCCTGTGGGAAGCCCACACTGGAGCAGGCTACTGGCAGGACCAGTGGACCCATAGAGAGAGGAGCACACACTGGAGCAGGTTTGCTGGAAGGACTTGTGATCCTGTGAGGGACCGCCACCAGAGCAGTCTGTTCCTGACAGACTGCACCCCATGGAAGGCACCCATGCTGAAGCAGTTTGTGAAGAACTGCAGCCTGTGAGAAGGACCCATGTTGGAGAAGTTTGTGGAGGACTGTCTCCCATGGTAGAGAGCCCATGCTGGAGCAGGGGAAGAGTGTGAGAAGTCCTGCCTCTGAGGAGGAAGGAGAAGCAGAGATAATGTGTGATGAGCAGATCACAACCCCCATCTCCCATCCCGCTGTGCTGCTTTTGGGGAGGAGGTAGAGAATTTGGGAGTGAAGTTCAGCCTAGCTGTTCGTAGATTTGTTCTTATTTATTATTATAGTCTGATTTGACTGGCAATAAATTAATTTCTCTGAGACAAGTCTGTTTTGTCTGTGATTGTCATTGCTGAGTGATCTCCCTGTCCTTATCTCAACCCTTGAGCATTTCATTATATTTTTTCCTCGTGCCCAGTTGAGAAGGAGAGTAATAAAATGGCTTGGTGGGTCAACCCACCACAACCATCCAAGTATTAGCTAATCTCTCACAGTCGCACCCCTTCCAAAGGGAAATAAAAACAAAAATACAGTTTAAAGTCAGACAGTCTATCACTGCATTTGAGCAAAGGCAACTTGAAGTATTTTTACTGAAAAATAATATTACAAAATAGTATTTGGAAGCACTTTTTCTTAAACACAGCTTTATGTAGCTCTAATCTGTTTAAGACCTTTTTCTTATATACAGGTTTAGGATTCTTAATACTGTTAACAACAAAGCATTACATTTCAATCACCATGATCAGTTCAGCTGACACAAGATTTAAAGATCAGCCAAAGCATGATTGATTAAAGGAATTCTAAAGAATAATGCACTGTTGATACTACTCAACAAGATCTGATGCTTACAGAGTTAATAGTTGCTACAAATCCACTTGCGCTGTATAAACCAGTATTTTGGATGTACATGTAACACTGGCTCAGTTGGTTGGCTTGCCAAGTAAGACAGTCTTTGAAGTTTTCAATTTGTATCGAACGGAATCCAGGCTTTCTACATTGTCATGCTGTGACCTGCTGATCTAAAATAAAAAGTACACATTTAACCTGTTGTGTCATTTGTCTGTTTGCACGTGACTTCACTGTATATTAGAAACTAATATCCAACACGATCACCAACACGTCTGCTTTCATTGATGTTTTGTCCCATGTTCCTTCTGTTCCCCCGTTTTTATTATTATTTTATCATTAGATAACAGTGGATTCACCTATTATTTCAGAATATCCAATTTCAAGGAACTTAAAAGTTATATCTTATGATGGCTTAGAGTAATGGGCAAACATGTATAAGGACTGCAATACCTAAGGAGATATAGATCTATATAATCCTTGCAGTATTTCCGTATAAAAGGATTAGCTTCTTGTTAACTTGGAATGGGATAACCAGATTCAATTTCAAGTAACATTACTTACTTCCTTCCCTCAGCTTTTTTAATTCCTTTGTTATATCACTATACACACAGGATAAAAGCTCCTCTTGGGATTTTGTTCCATCCAAATAAACTAAGAAAGATGAAAGAAGAAGTTTTCATGAGTTCTATGCCAGTTATCTGTGACAGCAATTGGTAAAGTTTTCAGTATTCCCATGGGTGCCGTCAGAAGAGATGAAAAAATAAAAACCAAGAACAGTACCTCCCTTTTCTTCTTTCCCGAATTTATTTTACATGTTAAAAAGTAATGTAATGTAAAACTATCCTAGCTAAGAACCTATTTCCAATTTTTGGGGGTATGAAAGTCTCCATAAGGGTAATGGTAATAACATTAGGACAGTACAGCAATGGAAAAATTCAGCAGAAAGATTCCTATGCAGTGGAAGACCTCAGGTTCTTCCTCAGCTTCATGGTTTGAGCAAGTCAAAGAAGGGCACTGTGGTTCCCATTCTCATTGCACAGTAAGGATGAAGCAACCGCCTGACTTCTCTTTCCTCTGGTCCCCACTCCAGAGGTGCAGGCAGCCCAAGAGCTGTACAAGTGTGAACATCACACAAGCTCATGGCATTGCCCAATCAGCTGGCCCAGCTTTGACACTTCTGATGCAAGACTGATGACTGTAGAGTGTACAGTCAGCACCAAGGAAGTATCTTAAGCTTATCATAGGACTTCAACCAGGATTTCAATTCTGTTCTGAAGAATTCTGCCAGTGCATCAGCTCAGACGCTTCCTATTTAGCCATATGCATGTATGCAGACATACACACAAAACTAGCTTGTTAAATGGACTTACTTAGTGATCAGAACATTTCTATTTTTTTAATTTTCATTATTAAAAAACCAAAACCCCTATAGACTTGAAAAATAAACCACCAAAAGGTATAAACCTACTGTCCAAGTGCCACAAAAACATCTGAAGAAAACTTTGTCCCATTCAAAAAAAACAACCCCACAACCCAACAAAAACTGCATGAATGCCACACTTCAGCATTTTATAAGTTTAAAATTAAGGATACCATACCAACGTTACTTGCATTCTCTTCCAATTCATTTTTATATTTCAGATACATAGGCCACACGTGTCCATCGAAGTACCCCGGTGTATCTGCTGGCTGATAGACTCTGGTGCTACACAAAAATATATTTGCTTTCCCACACAAGTTTTACATTTTTGCCTACTTTGCTGGTTTAATAAGAGCATTTATCCAAAATACAAAAAGACTGCAGGCTGTATAACTGTTAAAGCAAAGGAGGCTCCTTTGTTTTAAAATAATCTGCGATACGAACTCCTGCTAACTTACCTTTCTGCCAATCAAATTACAATTAAGGTAAAAGTTGGTAGTGTTTTTTTATTTTTTTAAATAAGAAACATATTACATATAAATTAAGCTGTACCAAAAGCATTAGCAAAAGAAATTACTTTTTCTCTTTTTTTGTTGACTATACAGATTTCTCAAGTTTTAAATGATTAGCAGTTTTGTCTAGTCACTTCCAGCCTGGACACTAAAGTCCTTTAATGATGCATCTAGTAAGAAACCAAGAAAGTGGAACCAAACAATGCCAGTTGAATAGAGGATTTCTTCACTCAGCCAGCAGATTCTGACTTCATGCACATGTATTGCTCAAAGCACAGAGTATTGCTCCAAATTTGAAGGCAAGTCAGACACTGGCTCAATGATCTAAATCAGATCTACAGTACAACTACTGCACAGGCTAAACAAAGCGTACATTAAAACCACACATGAACATAGTTACTTTAACAATAATCATCATGCACCTGTATTCAACCAAGGATAAGACTGCTTAGTATTTTTTTAACTGTTTCTCATTTTAAAAGTGGTTTAACTCCAATATGCAGTCAGTAACCTAAATAATTTATCAGGACAACAAATTCTCTTTTCAGTGCTTGTAAAACATTTAACACTTTAATATCCCTGTGCTCTAAAATGAAAAACAAAACAAAACAAAACATACTCCCCCCCCCCCCATCTCTGCATGCTTTTGTTAATGTTGTTTAAATACCCACACAGCCTTCCCTGGGAATCACAGTGGACAGATGATCTTAGTAGCTCATATTTAGGAACCACCAAAGAAAAGCTAGTACAAAAGAACCACTCCAGGTTAGGGGGTGCAGTGACCCTTTGTGAGCAATAACTAAATAATCTTACCTCCTTCTCCTTTTGCACTCTTCATAAGGAAGGGTCAAAAAAAATCTTCTATTCCACAGTTCATTAAGCGGCCTATAATAATAATATATTTAGTTCCCTTTTCCTTTTTAGGGCAGCTTTTAATATACCAGGTTACATATTATTGCTTACTCATAATTGTATAGCAGAAAGCCTTCAACAATCAAAATATAAACATCATCTGTATTTTTCAGATTGCCACATGTATTCTGTGTCTCTTCTGTCACAACACCTGAGCTTGCTGGGTTTTTCATCCAATTGCGAATACTTTTCACCATTTCATCCATATAGAGGGCATCAAGTACTAGATGGAAACAGAAAGTTAGGCACACCATAAAAATAGAGAATTAAAAAAACCCAACAAAACAACCCCTTAAGTACCTCTAGGTTAATCAGTAAGAATCAAACAATCTACATACAAATCTAAATGAAAGGGAACAGGATTACCCCAAAAATTCTCTCTCACGCATATAAGTAGTTCCATGTTTGCAGCTGCTGATACCCTGAAACTAAAGCTTTCCCCAGGATTGGGGTATTTCTGGTGGGTGTGGTCTCTCAACTCTGGCACCAAAAAGTGTGTGAATTCACTTAACAGCCTATCCCTTGATGATAGAAACTGCAGGCACTGTTCTCCTATTCCACAAAACTTGTAAAAACTTACTTACTCCGAGACCTCCACCCTTCTGTCAGTTGTCACTGACACAGGAGAAGGGAGCGAGTGCTCAAAATTTTTTGCATTGGGTTTTTATTGGGTTCAGGTATTTGGAGGGTGGGGGTGGATGGATTGAAAGCAGGATGGCATACAAAGCAAAACAGCACAATGTAGCACCTGCTTTTGCCTGTAGACATGTAAGAACATATTGAGTAAGTACTGAATGGTAGAGAAAAGGCAGCCTTTGGATAATATAAGAGCAAACACATTTTAGAGGAGCTTTTAAAAGCAGCATTAAACCCCGATCTTTGGACAAGAATGTCCAACTTATCCCACCAGTTCCACATTCCAGTTTCATGAAGTCTAGAAGTTGAGACAAAGACAACATAGTTGCTAATAGTCAGTTTTCAGATACAATTTAAGCTTCTGGACAATGTTGTGAGTAATGCATTTTGTGATCACCAAGTATCAACAGGGATTGGCTAATAAGCTACTGTTCACAACTAGATATGACCTAAACCAAAGCACTGGCCTAAAGTGGATCTGGATCTAGTTTATAAGACTAAATTGGCATCTTGAGCCAGCATTAACCATGAACTTCAAAACATTTGCTCTCTATGTGAGATCAGACATGAAATAAAGGTGTCAGGATCAGGCACAACTTTTGACTGATTTGGAATATGACCATGAAAGAGATTAAATCGTGATATCCCATGAGTTCATTATCAAAGTGAAAAAAAAACCACCAATCCGTCATTACATAGAAAGTGATGAGGTTAAGCTTATGCCAGTGCTGCAAGCCAAGACATCTAACTGAACAGTACCATTTGCCACTGCACCAGACACAACTGTAGAAATAGAGGAAAAGATTAAAAATAGAAAATGAAAGGTCAAGCACTAGCTTGAACTATTTACTACTTCAGCAAGTTTTCTTACTTATCTCAGTGAGCTGAAAGGAACTGAGCAAAGGATTGCTCTGAAACAACCATTTGTTTACTGCCTCGCTGAGGAGAGGGCAGGGGTGAAGGGGAAGAAGCGTTGAAGCTCAGCACAACAGAATTTCAGCACAATGTTCAAAAGCAATCCATCAAAGTTACTGACCATCATATAGCTTAAATCCACGTTCATCTGTTTCTACTTCAGACTCTGGCTGAAGGGGAAAAAAATGGAATAATTTCAAGGCTGCTTTTATGACCACTGTCACAGATACATACTCATCAGTTACAAACATAAGGGTTATACACTTTTGTATCCCAATTGATTAGATTTATCTTAAAAATTAAACTGCTGCATACAACTGTAAAAATACAATACACTTTATTTAATTGAGAACAACAAATTCTCCAAATCATACCTCTTAAGTTCATTAGAGCTGTACTTCAGAAATAAGAGCTCCTTCACCCTCCTTAACAAAAAACTCCAATGTCAATGCAAAAGTTGTTTTTCTGATTTGATTTGGGAGAAAAAGAACTATCTATTGCTCCTTCACCCTCCTTAACAAAAAACTCCAATGTCAATGCAAAAGTTGTTTTTCTGATTTGATTTGGGAGAAAAAGAACTATCTATTGCTCTACGGATGCCGGGTTAACACAGTATCATTAACTTCATTAGCACAGAGTATCTTGAAAAATGCATCCACCATACACTCGTTCCTTATTTTAAAAGGGTATCAGAGAAGACTAAATTTCTTTTTGCCGAGTATACTTCGTGGTTTTGGCCACTGAAAGTTCAGTTAGCCCAGTGCTCATTTTATTTCTCTTTCTCATGAAGTCACCGTTACTTTAAGCAGCATCTATTTTAAAAGTCTACCAATAGGAGAACTGAAAGAGAAGAAACGATACTAAAATCTACTCAAGCCTACTTTTACCTATCAGGTCTTTTCATCAATACTGTTACCTTAAAGAAGTCATCTTGAGAGATTATATCACAGTTGGGAAGCATTTTCTTAAGCTTTTCTGCCAGCGTTGTTTTCCCCCCATTTGTCACACTGAGTTAGAAAAAATAGTAAAAACTGCGTCAAGACAAAAATCAATCTTTTAAACATATGTACAAGCTCTCACATACATTTCCATATAGTTAGACACAAAGACACACTCCAAACCCCCACAAAAGTCTATTCACATTAAATACTCTCTAACTCTAGAAATTTTCTGGCAGGTTCCAACAGCTTTCAGACAATAAATCTAGCAGTGCCAAGAAAGAGGTTAGAGAGAGGTGGTACCTGAGATCTCCAACAGAGACAAAACAGTTTCTTAAGAGTTAACATGCCAGAAAATGACACAATTATATGTTGCATTTGTAATCTATTTTCAAAAAATATCCATTCAGAAATAGAAATTACATCACTTCATTCTGAAAGGAAGACCAGTCTTGAGCTGTACAGGAAATTTAATTTGCTAATACTTACCCTCCAAGGCCAATAACCAATACTTTCATAGTTTGTTTTCTCCTCAGTTCTTCCTTTTCACTGTCAAAAATAGTAGCCAGTGAAAACTCTTAATTCAGCAACAAGGAAAGCAGCTATTGTATCAAGAAATATCAATTATAGATAGGACTTATTTTCTGTCCTTTTGTACTTTTTTTTCTTTTTGCAAAGCTACTGTCAGAAACTCAACTGCTTGTTGTAATGCTAACAAAAAAACTGCAACATACATACCACATCACAGATTTCAATGCATTTTACCTTAGATGGTATTTTAACCATTTGGGGGGGAACTCTGGAAGACTCAGTTCTACCAATATGAATATCACAGAAGTCCCTAAAGAAAAGCACAATCACTAGCTCAAGCATTAATTGTATAAAACAGACTATGCAAACAGAAGCTGTGATGGCGAACCAAACAAAAACCTTAAAAAAGAAACAAGTGAAATCCTGAGGAGAAAGATGTTTTAAAAAAATCATGAAGGGTTATAATAAAGAATCTGTTCAAAGACTCTAATGAGCCTGTGTAAGCAGATTCTTATACAGCAGTGTAAGAATTCACCCGTACCTTGTTGTGAGAGCTAACAGCACCGACCATACATGTGCTCCTCCTCTGCTCTACCACAGAATAATCTGGAGTCATTAAAATACTGTAAAGGCAGTTTAAGCCATCCTAGCTGATTCAGCACTGAGAAGGACCAGGTAGCACTTGATTTTCTCCAAAAAAGATCAAAGACTGAAACTCTGAAAAAGGTTACATTTGTCCACCTGTATCTCCTATTGCTGTGAAGAAACCAACCCTGAGGCTCTGGCTGGCTGAACACCTTCGGTGGTAAAAGCTGCCAAAGACACAATCCTGTCTTTCCCTGACTCTTTTGCCAGAATTTTCTTCTGGAGTAGGTGTTTGCAGAATCCCTAATGAACTATACTGGAAAAGCTGAAAACCAGTTCTGCAAAGAAGGAGGCAGGGGAAGAATGTTAGTTTTCAGCAGAAAAAAAGTCCCTCCAGTTTACCATGCAGTTACCTGTGCCTGCAAAAGTAAGGTGTAGCAGGAGGACGACGGGGCTGCTTCTTGGCAGCAGCACTAGTCTACAGAGTTTGTCAACCAGTTTAACATTTGTCAAACATTGCTTTCCAAGAGCACACACCGATTAATAACTATTTAACCACATGCAAACATGCTGTTTTTCACCTGCGCTGTCCTCTTAGGTCACACATAAGGAGGTAAGGCTTACGACACCTAAGACCTGAAAGGACTGAGCAGGTAACACCATCTCCACTCCCCGACAAACAAGTATCTGTACTATAATAGACAAAAAGACTGTTACAGGGCATTAGTATGAAAGTAAAACCACACTATTTCTGTTAAAGTAAGTTTTAAACATAGACAGAATCTTAAATAATAATATCCTTTTGCATTTGGTGCAATGACTGGAAGTTCAACTGTTTCACAGGTCTGTGATGTGATATTTGCACGGTTGCTTTATATGTTGCTTTATATATTTTTTCTGTTGTTTTTTTTTAATTTAAAAAAAAAAAACAAAACAACAACATACTGATTAGTCCAAGTCATCACCAGTATGATAGCCATTGCTCTGCAATGATGCTGCACACCTACCGTAGTTAGCACTGGCAAGTTTTATAAGTTAGCATGTGAGGGTTTTCTAAGAACACTATAATTCTCAAGTTCAATGATGTGATGCATGTTTATGGTATTAGCTATGTATTCAAAGAGCTCAAACTGATGATCTGTTCTCAACAAGTGACGATATTCAGTCCATTTAAAACAACAACAACAAAAAGTTTTCTAAAAGTCACCAGTAAGGTTTGTGTTCCAGAGGATTAGCCTTTGTCCCACAAAAAAATGCTATGTAACAAACTAAATAACATTTGGACACACATGCTGAGCTTTGGACTCTATTTTACGTCATTGTCTGTATGAAAGTTAATCCTAGCTCAAGGCAAAACCCACCAGGATTAAAGAAACCCACCAACTCTTTCTCCCCCCCCACCCCCCTAAGTAACGTGTAACAGGAATTGCAAAAGCCAATCTGTCACCAACGTTGCAGCACGGAAATCCTAAACCACTCTGCTGGGTTCAGTTCACACCTTTAAACAGGACACAACCCCCATGATACCCCTAACACAGAATTACCACCACCCGGTTTTTAACGGCATAGCGTGACAAAGCTCCAGCACCGGGTAACCGCCGGTGACATGCTTCCTTCTGGCCACCACCAGACCCGGCTAGGAGATGTCTCTCTCCCGGGCACCAACCCCACAGGCCTGGGCTGGCGCGGGGAGGGACCGCGCCGGCCGACAGAGAGCCCCTCACCTCTCCCCGCGGCTTCACC